TAAAAATAAATATTTATAATATATTAGAAAAAGTGGAAGAAATAGAATGTGGAGGATTGGAAGTTTTTTTAAATTAGCAAATAGTGGTAATCTTAATTTTTAAGTCTAAAGCTTTATTTATAATGAAATCTTTATTCAGATTATACATTTTGTACTCAGTTGTATAATCAGCTTTTCAAAAAGCATTTAATGAGGTACAAACATACAATATGGTTATACACACACACACACACACACACACACACATGTAGGATGGATGTATAGATGTGTAAGGGAAGATCTATCTATATTCATAAATATATCTTCATCTGTATTGATTTAACTTTCTTTCCTCTCTCTCCAGCGTATTCATCCACTCATCCATCTATCCATCCATTCATCCATCCAGCCATCCTTCCCAGTCTGCCTTTACAGAATTAAGCATGCTTTGCCAGCTAGTTCTTGACACCTTGTAAGAGGGCAGCTTACTTAAATCTTAATCGCATCGCTGTGGGGTTCTTCGAAAGCTTTGAAGTTGTTTCCAGGGTTGCTTAAAAAATTTGTGCCACAAAGAACTGTGATCATAGTGACTCAGCAGGAAGCGTTGGTAACATCTAGTTTATCCCTAGGTGGGCTGTTAGGAACTAGTCTTCTTTCTCTTTATCTAGGAAGTGCTTTGTTTGTGATTCAGAAAGAAGTTGTTCTGATGGATTTTGTTTTGTAGAATTGTTATGGATTTGCTTTGATATTTAGTATTAGTTTAGATAAATTAAAACTGCAGGGTGCTCAAACACGGACATGGATTAAAGTATCAAAAACTGCACATTTATTCTAAGCATATTCATGGGTTCAGTTGTTAAATTACACTGTTAGTTGTGAAACTTCTAAGCAGATATAACCAAAATAATGCAGCTATATAATATGTGAATAAAAGAATACCATGAATTTGGCCTATAATAAATAATTGGTATTTCCAAGTTTCAGTGTCATGTTATCTTCACCAAAAGAAAATTAAATTACCTTGCAGTCTTCTGAAAGGCATACTCTGTATTATCTACTGTATATATAATAGAACATAATTATAGACTCTTGTTCTAGACTGGAAGTTTATCTTATGCATTCCTATACCTTAAAAAAGTATTTTTACACTCTTCTAAAACATTCTAACAGATGAAAATCTGTTATATCTTGAAAGACTTTCTAAAATGATTAAATAGCATCTCTTAGTAAACCATTACAATGTTTAGGAACATTCACTTTGCTTTTCTTTAATCTCTAATTTCTCCTTATCTGTAGAACACATATGTATATATAGAATATATAAATATTTAGAATTTAGACGTTATACCATTCTAACTGTATTCTGTAGTAACTTTAGTTATGAAATGTGTTACCTACAGTGTTACTCAGAAATTTGAGCAAGTTAGCTAAAGAATATACACACTGAAGTTGCCAGAAAAAAACATTATTGTCCATCTACTTAGATAAAATAATGTCATTAGAAGGGAATACTTGGAATTTCAATAGAATGTGAGGATACCTTTTAGTTTACTGAGATGTTAAGAAAATTTAATTATTTTTACTATTTTCCCGTAGGAATAGTGATACTCTGATTACATAGAGTTAGTTCTTACAGCAGGGGTTCTTAATACTTTTTTAGATAATACCCTCTGCTGTGCACACCCACTTGCATTTTGCTTGAAGGTTTGAGAGATTCAGCCCCTTCCCCCATCAAAAAAAAAAAAAAAGAAACTTATCTGTAGTTTTAAAAAGTACTCCACTAACTTTAGACTGCTTATTCACTGAGCTTCACCAATCTTCTGATCTAGTGATGCTCAGTAGACTGGGAGTATTTGTGTATCGGATTTGTGAAGTTTAAAAAGATAGTGTCCTCCTTCTTGACCCCAGCCCTCCCTCTTTACTCCTAGGCAGTCTTTTGTTCTAATTGGCACCTCCCCCTTCCCCATCACTGTTGTAGCAGTGTTTTAATGTTATAACTTGGTTTCCAGAGAGAAGTTAACCCACTAGGAAGGGAGTGACATGTTTGTCTTCAGACTTAGGCTATATATAGTCAAGTGTTAAAATAATAAAATGGTATTTAATTAACTTATCAGTTTCCTGTAATACTGAACATCTCTGGAGAAGTGATAAAATAAATTAACTGTTCTGATATTCTGCACCTACCAGGTTGACATTGGAATGGAGGTGGAAGACACTGTAGCAGGGAAATGCACCAAAGAGTGGCTATGTAATCCAACATATCATGACCTTCACAGATACTGACCTCTCATTCTTGAGGCTGTTTGCTCTGGGTTGGAATTCAAATAAAGCTGGGAAGGAGGTGATCTTCCTCATTATTTGGAAACGATAAACTGAAACTTGAGACCAGAACAGGACATAATCTAATAACAGTACATCCTCTGCTTTTTTCCAGTGACAAGAGTGTGTCAAGGCTTTATTCATCCTTAAGGCACAGAAGCCTGTTAGGACACCATATTAAGCAAGTCAGTGAATTTTAGAATTAAAACTTAGTAATGCAAAGATTTTTTTTTGCTGTAGAAGCGGAGCATTGGAAAAAAACATGAAACTGGAATTGGATGAGCTTGCTTTTTGCTACTTTTTATCTTTAAGGAAACCACTTAATTTCTCTGCTTCTTGGTTTTCAATAGACTGAGGAAAATTGTATCTGTGTTACACTACATAGAACTAGTGAGAAGATAAAATCTGATTTCATGATATTAAGTATACCTTGTAAATTATTAAATTTTATGCAGGTGTAAGATAAAAGGATCATGTTTTTGCTTGCTAGTAAATTGGTATCATTAATCGGCCCTCCTGTCTAGTGGCTATCTTTTGTGACTATATTTCTATTAAGTATGTCTACTATGTGTTCTTTTTTATAAGGCTGGGTTCCTCTACCATTTGTTTAGTGCCTATCCTGGTACTATTGCAGGTTTGTGATATTATGAAGGTGAACAAGATAATCTTTGCTCAGTAGAGATAAACAGTTACAGATGGAAGCTAGTGGTGATTCTGGAGTTGGATTACTTGTCAGTGTTAAAGGCAGAATTGGATTAGAGGAACAAATGTTTTTGAAGATAACATACATTAATTCACTTTAGAATGAAATGTATTTTCAGGTACTACCACTGAAATTACAGAAATTATATTTTTATTTTGGTTTTGTAATTAAGAATTTCTTTCCTTCATATGTAACCAGCCATTGGTAAGAATAGGTGTCACTTGAGAAGGATTTAGCTTTGCTGTGTTTGTGTGACTCTTGGATGTTGATGTTACCCGAACTTTTCTTGATATAACTTGTGTAAAGTAAGTACTATTAGAACATCTATGATTTAGAATTCGTAGGAACTATAAGATTGGTAAGAATTAGGAAGAACAGTGTCAATTCATATGTACAAATCATAGACAAGAACAACTAAAAAGGGGTCTTACACATCATCAGTGATTCTGAAATTCTTTTTCAGGGGAGCAATAGAATTCTGTTGTTCTCTTGAGTTGCATTTCAGGACCTGCTGAAGAGGGACATTGGGGGAGTATGGCTCAATGGGTATGTCTGGACCCCTTCCCATTTCAAGCAGGGTGGGCCCAATATTATGTTTTATATATTGGTGATAAGTGTAAGTTTTTTTCTTTAAATAGGTTTCATGTTTAAAAACGTAAGTTATATAACTAGTTTTCTTCCCATATTTTAATGACAAAACTACAGAATGCTAGAGAATTAAACTTACCTGGAACCTGGATTTCCTCACTTCACTTCAGTGTTGTTCAGTTATATCATACTGCCTCCATGTGGCTTCAGTAATATTAAAAATCCTATTAAGTCATTTTAAATGATGAACAATCAAAACTAAGCATGACTGGATCTGACATCAAGATTTGACTGATGATGTTAATATCAACACCTGGCATTTAAATGAAAAGTGATTTGATTTTGGTACTTACCATGCTTTATACACAAGAAATATTTTTCTTTGAGTAATAAAAATGTTTATAATTGAAACTCAAATAAATTTTTATAATTTTCAGAGTTTTTTCCCTTGAACTCTTAAAATGTTAAAGACCTCCTTCCGGGAGAACAGGATATATTTCATTTATGGTCTCATATGCAGTATAAGTATAATAAAATGATTCAGGCATAAAATTGTTCTTATCTTTGAGTTTCTTACCTGAATTCTCATTAGGTAGATTTAGTAAGTATGCAATTTTTCTGTCAAGTGAGTGTTTACAGAGCTTTTATTTATCCTTTGGTGTTAGAAAGTTCACTTAGTGCCTCGCTTTTCACTTGACAATGAAGTTAAAACAAGATGATTTAGTATGATTTGTCATGATATCTAAGGAACAGTTCCATTGTGTGTGAAACAAATAGAATCCCTGAATTTTAGAAAATAAATTTGCACTTAGTTAGAATTGTTCCAGCCTTGACCTCTTGGCAAGATGAATTTGTTAGGTTTCTTCACTAAATTTAGAATTCTCTAGCATAAACATGGACTAGTAGCAAATTGTACCTCTCTTCCT